AAATACTGTAGAAGACCTTTATTGTAGAAATAGACAACTAGATAAAAGCGTTTATGAAGATCTAAGGGGAAGAGGGTGGGAGCAGAGGGGTGAGAATGGGGGGGGGGTGTAATCATAAGGTTGCACAATTTTGTGGGTGGAGGGAGGGATGGGTAAAGGAAATGGAAAAGATCCTGTGTGAAAAACAATGTATATGAAAAACAAACAAACAAACAAAACCCCAGTGTATATGAACTTTGTTAGGTAAACCAGTATAAAATTTAAAAAATACTTTAAAAATTTTACTTTAAAACGTAAACTATGTTTGTGTTTCAAGCATGCTTTAAAAAAAAAATTAAAGGCCATTAAATGGGGCAAAAATCCCAACAAAAAACCCACAATGAAACAATGTATTTGAAAAACTGTATAAAAGTAAATGATGATGCAAAAAAAGTGAGCAATGGTATAAACAAATAATAAACTAAGACAATAATTCTCTAAAAGTGTTGTGTAAGAAAGAAATGATAAAAATGTCTGCTAACTAGGAAAATATTTTCTTAAATATTTGTTGAAAAAAGGACATTACTCAATATTTTGCAAAGTGTGGTCAATTAGAAAAGCCTTCAAAAATTTAGGAATATGCAAATATTTCTTTGTTTGAATGCAGAGAGATTTCAGAGAATCTCAGGAAAGAATATAACCTTATTTTAGTTTAAGTATCATCTGCATCGAAGCGAATTTCATGCCGACATAACAAGCACTAGATGAAATTGCCTATAATTAGCCTAGAACAGTCTACATTAAAATGGGAAACAACAGTAGACATATATTGGAAATCAGCAACATTTTCCCACATTATGCAATTTTTGGAAAATGACTAGAAAAAGAAATTCTGTCACAGCCAATGGAAAAACTAAGTAACTTTACAATGAATTAATCTTAAAAAATAAATCCAAAATATTAAACATGCTTTCTGAAAACATGCTACATTCAGTTACTCACTTTCCAAGGAATTGCCTTAACAACTCAACTTTTCCATTTTTAGATTATTGTCAGCAAGCCAGCAACTAGACTAACAAGTTACTGTGACAAATGGAAAAATCTAATGTTTCTTTTCCAATTAGCAAATTAGATTAAAAAACAAAAATTACAAAGGCTTTCATTTCACCACTGCATTTAGATTTGCTTTTAGAGACCATTTTAAATGTAAAAGACAGTAATAGTTTATGAGGTGCTAGACTCTTCAAATTAAATTATGTAACTGATACACTGAAAGTTTATCAATTGAGAAATGAAATTTCAAAGCAACTGTACTTAGTTCTTCACTTTTCTCTTACAAGTTATTCAATTCAGTAGTTCTTTCTCTACCTCTGGATAAAAATTTGAATAGCTCCTAATTTTTTTTTTTCCATTACCAGTTTTTGTTAATAAAAGTCCTGTTGTTATGTGCCCTCAATTTGCCTGCAACTCATAGCGACCCAATGTACAATAAATAGCCCTGAATCCTGCCCTGTCCTGAGCCTGTCTCATTGACTCTGATACATCTACTTCCATTATCCCAGTTACTGTGTCAACCCATTTCTTCAGGGTCTTCCTTTCCTGCACTGTCCTACCACCTTCCCAAGTACGATATGCTTCTCCAAGGACTGGTACCTCCTGGCCACATGCCCAAAATATGTGACACAGAGCATCAAAATCCCAGCCTCCAAGTAAAAACTTGCTTTCACCCATTCCAGCACAGATCTGTTTGTTCTCTTGATGGTCCATGTTATGTTCGAGACTCTTCTCCAGCACCACGACTCAAAGGCATCGATTCTTCTGTCATCCTTAGTCATTGTCCAGGTCTCTGAGGCCTAGCAAATAATTGTGAAGACCATGGTCTGGATCAAGTACACTTTAGTCTCTAGACTGATATTATTACTCTTTACCTCTCTGGAGAGGTCCCTGACAGCACACTTCTCCATTGCAATTTGTATTTTGATTTCCTGACTGCTGGTGCCAAGAGTGTTGACTGTAGAGCTAAGCAAGCTGCAATTGTTAACAACCTCAATCTCTTATTCATCTATCATGGTGCTGCAAACTGGCTCAGGAATGAGAATATCTGTCTTCTTGATGTTGAGCTTCAATCCATAATGAAGACTACAACCCCAGACTTTCTGCAGCAAACATTCAGTCCTCCTAAATTTGGTCAAGCAGTTGTGTCATCTGCATATCGCAGATGAATACTGATGAACACTGAGGAATCTTCCTCCAATCCTGACACCTCATTCCTCCTCATAAAGTCTGTTGCTGTTAAGCCCTATACTGCTGACCAAATGAGTTTTTAAATAGGAGGCTGAATTACATCACCTCACACTCTCATTAGCAAGTCAACATTCCACTCCAATCCTCACCAGAATCAGTAAACAAGCCTCTATAGAATCTGGCAGCTGCAGACAACGTCCAAACTGATTCCAGCCCCATACTGCTATTCAAATGCATTCAAATAGGAGGCTGAATCAAATCAACTCATGCCCATTAGCGAGTCAACAAATGATGTGCTCTTCATACAGACTGAAAAGGTATGGAGACAGGACATGGGGCTGATGCACTCCTTTCTTGATTTGGAACCATGCAGTGTTTCCTTGCTCAGTTCTGAGGGCTGCTTCCTGGCCCAATAGGTTTTTCATGAGAGCAATCAAGTGTTCTGGGATTCCCACTCTTCTCAAGGTTAGCTACAATTTGATATGATCCACACAGTCAAACGCCTTTGCATACTCAATGAAACACAGATAGACATTCCTCTGGTACTCTGTGTTTTCAGCCAAGATCCATCTGACTTTGGCAATGTCTGTGGTGTCACAGCCTTTTCTAAACCCAGCTTGTATTTCTGGTAGTTCTCTGTCAATGAATGTAATGTTCTAGTAGTTTTTGGATAATCTTCAGAAGGATTTTGCTTATGTGTGATATTAGTGATATTATTTGATAATTTTCACACTTTGGTCATTTTGGGGGGGGGGAAGGGGGAATGGGAACATATATGGATCTCTTCCAATCCATTGGCCAGGTAGTTGTCCTTCAGATTTCTTGACACAACCTGGTGAGCACATGCAGGGCAACATGTTTGCTGAAATCTATGAACTGGCATTCCATCTATGCCTGAACCTTGTTTTTGCCAATTCCTTCAGAACAGCTCAAACTTCCTCTTTTATCACCATTACCTCTTGATCATATGTTTTTTCATTAAATTCTGTGTTACCAAATTCTTTTTGGTATAGTGACATCGTGTACTCTGTCCATCCTCATTTAATGATTCCTGTATCATTCAATATTCTGCCCATAGCATCCTTAATATTGCAACTTGAGGCTTGAATTTGTTCTTCATTCGCCTCAGTTTAAGGAATGCATAGTGAGTTCAGTCCTTTTGACTTTTCAACTCCACGTCTTTGCACATTTCATTATAATACTTTGCTTTATCTTCCCAAGGCGCCCTTTGAAATCTTCTGTTCAGCTCCTTAACTTTCTGTTTTCTTCCCTTTGCTTTGGGTTCTCTGCACTCTAGGGCAATATTCAGAATCTCTTCTGACATCCATCATGGTCGTTTCTTTCTCCTCTGTAGTTGTAATGACCTTTTGCATTCTTTGTGGATTTTAT